TCCCTTTCTAGGCATTTGAGGAGACTCATCTGACCTCCCTGGACCCAGTGAAACAGTTTGCTGCCTGGTTTGAGGATGCTGTTCAGTGTCCTGACATAGGGGAGGCCAACGCCATGTGTCTGGCTACCTGTACCAGGTGGGCATGGCCATGGGACCCTCTTTGGCTGGGTACATATGAAGAGCTTATGAAGCTCTCAGCTCTAGATGCCAACTTTATGGTTCCAGCTACTGTGCGGCTTTAGGCAAGGTACTTGTCCTCTCTTGGCCTCTGTGTCCCTACCTATAAACCAGAGACCAGACCACAAAATTACATGTCAGTGATAAAAATGCAGTGCCTTGTTCATCTCTACCCCTGATACATCCATACATAGCCCCTTGCCTCCCTCATTTCTCCATTTACCCAAACCCTGTCTGCTATTCAGGAGCTGCTTCTGGTGAAGCTCTGTCCTTCTCTCAAAATCTAGTACAGTACTTGACTATATCATTCCTTTGACAATCATATGCCGTTTGAGACATAACTTGTATTATAGCCTGTTATTCAGGCTATAATAGATAGAACAATACTCCTTGCTAGACTGTAAGGCCTTGAAAGCAGCGCTCTTGTACTGTGCGAGTGGGTGTCTCCCAGAGCTCTGAGCAGAGGAGCTGATCTAATAGCACCACCATGATCCCTAAGCATTGACTGATTGCATTATTGTTAGTTCCTGCCCTTAAGGTCTTATGAGTTTGCTAGGGCTGTGTTAACAAAATACTGTAGACTGGTAGCTTAAACAACAGGAATTTCTTTTCTTTTTTTTTTTTTTTGAGATGGAGTTTCGCTCTTGTGACCCAGGCTGGAGTGCAATGACGGGATCTCAGCTCACCGCAACCTCCGCATCCTGGGTTCAGGCAATTCTTCTGCCTCAGCCTCCCGAGTAGCTGGGATTACAGGCACGCGCCACCATGCCCAGCTAATTTTTTGTATTTTTAGTAGAGACGGGGTTTCACCATGTTGACCAGGATGGTCTCGATCTCTTGACCTCGTGATCCACCCGCCTCAGCCTCCCAAAGTGCTGGGATTACAGGCTTGAGCCACCGTGCACTGCAGGGAATTTATTTTCTTATAGTTATGGTGGCTAGAAGTCCAAGATCAAGGTGCCATCAGGGGTGGTTTCTGGTGAGGCCTCTGCTTGTGGTTTGCAGACAGCTGCTTTTAGCTATGTCCTCACACTGCCTTTCCTCTGTGTGTGTGTGTGTGTGTGTGTGTGTTGTGGGGAGGGGGTAAGGGAGGTGGTTCTGAAGTGTCTCTTCTCTTACAGTGACACCAGTCCTATTGGATTAGGGCCCCACCCTATGACCTTATTTAACCTTAGTTACCTCCATAAGGTCCCTGTCTCCAAATACAGTCATACTGAGGTTTCAGTCTTTGACATAGGGGTTTTGGGTATCACAATTCAGTTCATAACAGGGCCTCAGGCTGTAGTGTCATACCTCTAGGACAAACCCCCAGGAGCACATGGGAGGGGGCAGCCTGACAGCTCAATAAAGGGGGTGCAGCTGGAGGGGGTGCTTAGACATCTTTTGGGGAGAGGGACTGTAGCCACAACATTGAAGCAGGCTCTGACCACAGTGCTCTGCTGTTTGCCCCTAGAGATGGAAAACCCTCTGCTCGCATGTTGCTACTGAAGGGCTTTGGCAAAGATGGCTTCCGTTTCTTCACCAACTTCGAGAGCCGAAAAGGAAAAGAGCTGGTCAGTGAAAAGAGCTGGTAATCTTTCCCAGGGCCTGAAGGGTCTGGCCCTTGCCTTCTGTCACCTTCTCATGCCACCTGCCCCTACCCCTGCCCATCTACTTGCTCTCTGTGTGAAAGTACCCTCCTGCTATGAGGCCTTGGCACTTGCTCTGCTCTTTGCCATGAATGAATGAATGAATGAATGAATGAATGCAAAGGTCCCTGCCTCACCCCCATCAGCCTTCACCTGTTCCTTCAGATCTCAGCCAACATGTTGCCTCCTCAGGAAGGCCCTCCTTGACTCTGACTCAGCCCGTCATGCTGTTTGCTGTCATTATAACTTGCAACTTTCCTTTTCGTTATTTTCTTCAGTTTGTAAGTGAGCATTTATTTAGGTGATTATGTAACGGATATTTGTCTCCTCTGCCGAACAGTAAGCTCTCTAGGAGTGGAGGCTGCTCTGTTTTATCTTTGCTGTACCCCCTGCATGTCTCCTGTTGTCAGACCCAGAGTGGGCACTTCGTGTGCATTCAATGAATGAATCCAAAATGAGTAAACCTCCCTGAGTCTATGCCAGTATTTCTCAAGACTCACAAATCTGTGGGTGAGAGAAGTGGCCCAGCCTCACTTTGGAGTCCGACTGGCTTAAATTTAGCTCCACCATTACTGAGGGAACTTGGGCATGTGACTTAGCCTGTCTCTGTATCTGTGACAATAGGCCCACGTTTGAGGATTTAAATGAGCCATTACAGTGGATGCGTCTGCTGCAGGCCTGCACACCACAGCTCTCCTGCCTTTCCCCTGCATGCCGGAGGTCTCCTCTTCCTGTCCTGATGGCTGGTTGTGGATTCTCTTTTACTTCTAGGACTCAAATCCGTTTGCTTCCCTTGTCTTCTACTGGGAGCCACTTAACCGTCAGGTGAGTGAATTTTCCCAGGAGAGCCTGGAAAAATAGGCTGGGTTGGCAGGGCCCGAGTTTATGGCTGAGTCTAGTGAAGGTCTCCAGACTGGGCAAACGTCCCACCTGGGCACTCTGCCTCCAAAACAGCCCTCAGTTAGCTGGTCTAGCTGGAGCCAGGAGTGGTGGGGCAGTGGATAGAGAGAACAGAGAGGAACGGGGCCTCTGCTGGTAGGGACGGCAGATGGCATTGAACGCCTTTCACCCAGAGCCATCCCTGAGCAGGTGCGTGTGGAAGGCCCTGTGAAGAAGCTGTCTGAGGAGGAGGCTGAGTGCTACTTCCACTCCCGCCCCAAGAGCAGCCAGATTGGGGCTGTGGTCAGCCACCAGAGTTCTGTGATCCCTGATCGGGAGGTGAGTGGGGCTCTGCCATAGTCCTCCAGGTGGTGGAGGCTTTGGCTTATCCCTAGAAGCTGTCCCCAGAAGATGCCAGGTTCTTCTCTCTCTGGCCCAGTGAAAACAGTGAAAAGGACAATCTCCCTAGGGGAAGTGGGGGCGGGGAGAGGGGAAATAGGCCTCCTCTGTCGGTCTGGCCCTCCCGTTGACTGTGTGCTCCTGGAGGACAGAGGCCAGTCTGCTCTGCTCACCCATGTCCCCAGCACGTATCCTCAGGAAGTCCTTGTTAATGAATCATTGACTGGGCCTGGCCCTTCTTCTAACTCCTTCCCCTGGACAGTATCTGAGAAAGAAAAATGAGGAACTGGAACAGCTCTACCAGGATCAAGAGGTGCCCAAGCCAAAATCCTGGTGAGTGACATCTGGTAGTCATCTAGAAAGGGACACCATGCCCTTACATTTACTTGAAGCCACCTGCCTGGGGAATCACAGATCTCCTCCTCCCTGACAACCCTTGTCAGATGCATCCCAGCCACTTCCTTCAAGAGGCCCTGGGATGAGGGGTGAGGGTAGGAGAGTGACCTGGCTAGAAACACCCACAGAGCACTGAAACCTCTGCTTCTCCTTATAGGGGTGGCTATGTCCTGTACCCCCAGGTGATGGAGTTCTGGCAAGGTCAAACCAACCGCCTGCATGACCGGATAGTCTTTCGGCGGGGCCTACCCACAGGAGATTCCCCTTTGGGGCCCATGACCCACCGTGGGGAGGAAGACTGGCTCTATGAGAGACTTGCACCTTGACTCTGGCCCAGAGTAGAGCTAGGGCTAGGTGTCAAGAGAGGGTGTGGGATTGGGACCCAGACCCTTCTTTCTACCCTCAGCCCATTTCCCTCCCTACCCCTTATATTCAGGACTCTTCACAGCTCGTCCTCCGAGTTCTCTGTGCTCAGTTGGTTCTCAGTTAGCTGGTCAAGCTGAGCGTAATGGTGGCGTAGAGAATCACAAATGGAAAATAATTCCATAGTTATTTTTTTGACCATGCCTATGATTGATTAGGATAGCTCCCTCTGGGGTGGCAGCCAGTGTGACTCCCTTTCTGGTGACATCTTGTGAGTCATCCTGGCCAAAGCTTAGTCCCAGCATAAGCGCCTGAGCCAATCTGGCCAATCAGATTGTTTTGTCAATAATTTGAAATTTGAAATGGAGAGATCAGAATGCTGGGAGTCACTGAAGCCAAGTCATTCATGGCAGCCAGGAAACAACAGGAATCAACAGCCTCTGCTGCTGCTGTTGCAATTCCCAGGATCTCTCCTTCCCTAATACCTCCTTCCCAGGTTGGCTGTGCAGTTCCTCCCCCTGCCTTGAAACACCCAACTATCTCTGTAAATTCTCTCTCTCTTTTTTTTTTTTTTTTTTGACCTAATCTAGCTAGAATCTATTTCCATTGCTTACAACTTAACCTTAACTAACTCATTTACCAATAGAATTTTTTTTTTGAGATGGAGTCTCGCTCTGTCACCCAGGCTGGAGGGCAGTGGCATGATCTCGGCTCGTTGCAACCTCTGCCTCCCAGGTTCAAGGGATCCCTCCTTAGTAGCTGGGATTACAGGTGCCCACCAACACACCTGGCTAATTTTTGTATTTTTAGTAGAGACAGCGTTCATCATGTTGGCCAGGCTGGTCTCCAATTCCTGACCTGAAGTGATCCGTCCCCCTCAGTGCTGGGATTACAGACATGAGCCACTGTGTCCATCCAGGATAGTGTGTGTGTGTGTGTGTGTGTGTGTGTGTGTGTATATTTGGTTTTTGGTTTTTGAGATGGAGTCTCACTCAGTCGCCCAATCTAGAGTGCAGTGGTATGATCTCAGCTCACTGCAGCCTCCGCCTCCCGGGTTAAAGTGGCTGTCCTGCCTCAGCCTCCTGAGTAGCTGGGATTACAGGTGTGTGCCACCATGCCCGGCTGATTTTTGTATTATAAGTAGAGACATGGTTTCACCATGTTGGATAGGCTGGTCTTGAACTCCAGACCTTACGATCTGCCTGCCTTGGCCTCCCAAAGTGCTAGGATTACAGGCATGAGCCACCACGCCCAGCGCAGGATAGTATATTTTTATAGTACTTCCCTTACTGATTGCTGCCTTCTCTGTGGCTCCAAGGGACCAACAGAGTTACAGGAAAGCAGGTTTCATCTCAGTATTAGGAGATATTTCAAGCATCAGACCTGCCTAAGAAGGAATGGGCTGTCACTAGGAATTTTTATTCCCAGTCAGTCAGGAATTTTGTAGAAGGGATTCATGTGCTGGTACCAATAGGACAGGAACATTTTAATCAGCTTTACTTTCTATGTTTCTTTGTGGAAACGGTGTGTGTATGTGTACATACATTTTCCAAAAAGGAAAATTAAATGATTATAGAGATTATGTTTTTCAGACTACCCACATATCTGCTGTTCTTACTCCCCACTTCTGCTGATGATTCCTAGATCATTAGCTTTTCACCCACACTGGAATTACCTGGAAAGTTTTAAGAACCCTGATGACTGGGTCCCACCCTCAGAGATGATTGAACCAGCCTGGCCAGCATGGCGAAACCCTGTCTCTACTATGATATGAGGGCAGCCTGGGCACTGGGAAATTTAAAAGCTCCCCAGAGAATTCTGTGCAGCCAAAGTTGAGGCCTCCTGGTCTAGAGCTTTGCTATACACAGTGTGGTCCACAAGCCAAGAGCATCAGCATCACTTGGCAGCCCCTTAGAGATTCAGACCCCTGGCCCACTGAATCTGTCCATGTATTTTCACTAGACCCCAGGTGACCAACTGCACTTGACTCAACCTCTAAACCATGACCTTCCACCCTCACAATCTGTGATCCTTTCGTGACCCTCAGCTGAGTCTGTGCTGAACTGTGTTTGCTCTCTTTGAGCAAAGCCCGCTGATCAGAGACAGCCTGGATGAGCAAGAAGCCTGCTAGCTATGGAGAGGAGCCAGGCTGAGTAAATGCTGTGACTAAGCCAGGATCAGAGAACTGACTGTTGCTTGCACTGGCTGGCATTGAGCTTGCCACTCTGTGAGCTGTGCTTCCTTCCCCTGCAGGGCCCTGTGCCTCAGTCCCTATTATCCACAGGCCTCCTCCAAGGGCAGCCCTCTCCCCGTTAATCCCCCTTAAGCCTGAGTGCAGGAAGGCACATGAACCTTGCGGCACCCTGCAGGCAGGAGGGTGTCGGGTGCCCTGAGCTACCTTGCCCTTTTTCTTGTACTGTAAGCAGTGCCGTTTCTGAGTTCGTGTACGTGTGTGTAGAAGCGCTGCACCCACCTTGTGTTATTGGGGGTTGTGTATCCCCCCAGCTTTGAGCCTGGTCTCAGCTGTTCCTTTCCTGTTCTCTGTCCAGTCGTTACTGCCCCCAGTCTGTAATAAAATCCTGTCAGCTGTGCACTTTATTGATGTTCAACCCTGTCTGGTCTCCCTCGACCCCCAAGGAGGGGACTTGAGGAAATTTAATAGACTTTTCTGCCCCCTCATTTCTCCGCATCAAGTAGGCCTATGTCCAGCAGGGGGAGCCCGTCGCACAGGGTCGGCCCCTTCCGGGCAGTGAAGGCCAGTTCTAGCCGGCCTCCCTTGCCTCCCGCTTCCTCTGCTTGGGCCGCGTCCCAGTGAAACTGTGGTCGATAACCGGCAGCCTCTCCCAGTTCCCGCACATATTTACGCTCTCGGTTCCTCCTCTTTCCCTGTTCTCATAAAAACTTGCAGCTGCCTCACTCTGCTTCCCTGGGCAGTCAGATCTCCCTTTGGCTTCTAGTATCTACCCCATATCCATCTGGCACCCCAGCTTAGAAACACAGGTGGACTTTACCTAGAAGATGGAGCTGGGGTCAGCATGCAAGGGTCAGAGGGGTTGTGGACACTCTTACCCAGAGTGGTGATGGTAAGATTGGAGGAGGTGGTAGTACAGTACCAGTGTTATCTAGAACCTTAGGTTGGTGGCCCAGGACCCAACCTTATTGCTCCCCACTCAGGGAAACTGAGAATGGGCGGATGTGGGAGATGCCTGTAGTCTGGGGTCTTAGGGGACACTCTGCTTCAAAGCTGGTTGGCTTTATCCCAATGCTTCCAGAGTTTGTCCAGCCTCCTCAAACGATGCTCACCTCCCAGGATCCAAGACCCAGACGTTGCTCCCTCCCCTCCCCACTTCCCCTTCTGCAGAAGGTGTCTGTGCTTTTCTTTGTTCTGAACTTCAGTTTCCTGTTCCCACAGCAGGTAAGAATCAAGAGTGGGAGGGACTGTGTGGGACAGTGGTCACATGCACAAGCTGGCTCTGGCTTCAGTCCCAGCTCCACCACTGCCAGCGCCTGGCCCCCAGGGTGAGTGATCTCACCTCTAAGCCTCAGCCAACTTGTCTGAAAAATGGGGATAATGACTGCACCTGTCTCAGGTGATGATAGGATTAAGTGAGCCACCTTAGGGAGGGCTTGTTCTAGGGCCGCCTGCCATAAGCACCCTATAAATGTTTCCTATTAACATGGGGCAGGGCTGTGGTGTGGGGAAAGTCGGAGTCCCTCTATGGAGGCCTCATGGATTGAGTAATTAGTGAGACCCTAGAAAGTTCTGTGTAGTGAGAAGGGGTAGGGGAAGAGGCCTTGGGAAAGGCAACACCCTGAGCCTGCCTTCCATCCCTCCAGCTCCTGGTCTCCCTCCCCCATCACTTGAGGTCCCCCTGGCCTGTTAGGTGAGGCACCTAACAAAGGCTCCCTTGTATAGGTCTGTTTGTTTCAGGAATAAATTCCCCAAGCAACAGCTCCTGGGGTGGGGTGGCCAGCAGCCTGCCAGGAGCTGACCTGGAAGCCACAGGACCACATTGTTTAGTGGCCGCCTTGGTCTCTCCCTGTGTTTGTACCAGGAGCCCCAGAGATTTGGCCAACTTTTTTTAGTTCCCGGCTCTTATGGCTTGATAAAGAGCTGGACCTAACATCATAAGATGACAGCATTCTCCCCTTTCTTATTTATTAAAAAAAAATTTTTTTCTGGAGTTAAGGTCTAGTTCTGTCACCCAGGTTGTAGTGCAGTAGCACAATCATAGCTCACTGCAGTCTTGAACTCCTGGACTCAAGCAATCCTCCTACCTCAGCCTCCCAAGCAGATAGGACTACAGGCATGTGCCACCACAGTCAGCTAATTTTTGTTTGTTGGGTTTTTTTAGAGATGGGGATCTCGCTATGTTACCTTGGCTGGTCTCAAACTCCTGTGCGCAAGCAATCCGCCCATCTCAGCCTCCCAAAATGTGGGAATTACAGGCCTGAGCCACCATACCCGCCCTCTCCATTTTCTTAAACCAAAGCTATGGAGTACGGTGGAGTTCTTTATAAAGCAAGGGGCAAGGAAGCCAGTATTAAACTGAGCACCTACTATGGGGCCTCTCATAGGCCACTTAATACTGACCGCTTTTGATAAGATGGGTATTATTTCAGCCCCCTTTTACAGAAGAGGGAACTGAGGCTCAGAGGACAAGCAAATGTTCCCAAGGTCACCCAGCTATTAAGGGGTAGAGCCAGAGTTTGAATCTTCATCCCAAACCAAACCACTGAAACTTTGGGGTCAGTCATCAAAGCTCTGTCTTACTCTTTTGAGCATCTGATGGCCTCTCTGTTGACCAGAGAGAACTGACCACTGAGGTATAACTAGCTCCTGCTCCCCCATCCCCACACTAAGGCTGGTTTGATGGTAAAAATTAGTGACCAGTTCCTACACTGTCACACCTGGGTACCCTTCCTGAAGCTTGAAAGGAACAGTTTGAGCACAAAGGTCCACTTTACTTACATAAGGAAGATAAAGGCATGAAAAACAGTCATCTCAATAAGTGCAAGACATAAGCATAAAAGAGGTTCTCTGCTTTCCAGCATTGTTATTACAAAGAGAGAAACCTACAATTATTTTGTTAAACAAAATTTAAGACTCCAGGACCCATCTCTGGAGCTGATACCTGTTAAATACTATTACTGTAGGGGAGGGAAGGGAGAAAACTCCCCACCCACTCCCCCAATTTGGCCAGTGTACCTTCCCTTTGAGGGTGTGTGACTCCACCTGCACAAGTCATGGCCAAAACAGGAACCAGTAAATCAAACTACCATCAATCTAGTCTTCTACAGCACCCCCCACAGAGCGCCGTGTCCTCTGCCCCCTCCACACCTGAGGGCAAAGTTCCAGGAAGTTTACTGCCTGTGTTAGGAGGTGAGCTCAAGTTCAGCGTCTCCGCCTCTGGCTCCACAGAATCCAGAGCCCATCACGTGGCTTCTGGAAAATATGACCTCCTCAGGATTGGTCCAGGGAACAGTCACAGGTAGAGAAAGTAAAGGGAGCAGCAATTCAAACTCGCCTTTGACCCTGTGTCCAGTGAGGAGGTGAAGTCTGTCTGTCTGGCTCGCTCCATTCCCTGCCATGCCCACCTCCCTGCCGGCCCTGCCGTTGCTTCAAGGAGGGCTGTCCATCCTGGGTGAGGGTTTTCACCCTTGAACTAGAGTGCCTTTTTATGTGGTCAGGGTGAGGGTGGGAGGACCCTGGGATCTCCCAAGCCTTAAAAGTGGAGGCACATAAATACAAATCTAAAAACCAGCCATTTCCTGCCAGCAGACATCAACTGCCACCATGGCTTCAGCTATGGCCAAAGAGGCCAGCGTGGCAAGCTCCTGTCTCAGATCCAGCTGATGACAGGGAACCAGGAGGTGCTAGCACCCTCCTCAGTCCTTCACTTCGATGACCGCCCTTCCTCGCAGTCATCAAAGAGGCTAGGGTTCTCTGCCAGTGTGGCTCTCACTTTCTTCTTCTCCTTGAAGCGGCCTGAGTTGGAGACCTTGACGTGCTTGCCCTTGGTGCTCTTGTCCACAATCTTCTCCAGGCGGGTGTTAAAGTTGCTGTTGGGGCCTCCAGCGTCGGGCATCGGGGGTTCTGTGCCTCCCTCTGTTTGGGCATAGGTGTCAGGGATCTCATACAGCACCTTGGGAGTGGATTTCTTTTTCCGGAGGAAAGTCAGCTTCCACCAACCAATTTCAGTTGTCATGGCGCTCCCTAAGCTGAGGGTGGGGCTTTCTGCTGGAGCAGGGTGGGAGGGAGGGAGAGACAAAGGGGTCAATGGGAAAAAGGGGTGAGTGCCTTTGGACCAGCTTGCTGTAGACTCCTAATCATGGGCTGCTTTAAGAATTAAAGAAAGGGGCCGGGCGTGGTGGCTCAAGCCTGTAATCCCAGCACTTTGGGAGGCCGAGGCGGGTGGATCACGAGGTCAAGAGATCGAGACCATCCTGGTCAACATGGTGAAACCCCGTCTCTACTAAAAATACAAAACATTAGCTGGGCATGGTGGCACGTGCCTGTAATCCCAGCTACTCAGGAGGCTGAGGCAGGAGAATTGCCTGAACCCAGGAGGCAGAGGTTGCGGTGAGCCGAGATCGCGCCATTGCACTCCAGCCTGGGTAACAACAGCAAAACTCCGTCTCAAAAAAAAAGAATTAAAGAAAGGGCCCAGGCTTGGTGTCAAACACCTGTAATCCCAGCTACTCAGGAGGTTGAGGCAGGACTATCGCTTGAACCCGGGAGGCAGAGATTGCAGTGAGCTGAGATCGCACCACTGCACTCCAGCCTGGGCAACAGAACAAGACTCTGTCTCAAAAAAAAAAAAAAAAGAATTAAAGAATTGAAGGTAGGACTGAATAAACCCAAGATTCAGGTCAGTGGAATGACACATGCTTTTAGAGAGTGTGAGGAAAGAGAAGGGTCAAAGTCAAGGTCAAGACAGGGAAGCCACCGACGCCAGGCAGAGGGGCAGTGGGACAGGCACACACTATTGCCCTGCAGGGTTGTCTGGAGCTTTGAGATCATTCTTGCCAGGCCCTTCAGGGCCGCAGGCAGGTGGACAGCTTGCCCAAGTCACACGGCATCCAGGCCTTTCATGCTCTTCCCAAACTTCCCACTATACCACCAGACCCTGCTGCCAGCTGTGGGCAGACCATTGACTGGTAGCACAGGGAGAGAAAGACCCTGTGCATTTTGCTTGGAATTCATTACAAAATTAAATGTCATTAGTGACTTTCCGAGCAATTTGAACTCCCCAGCAATGACCTGCAAGGCTAAAGTAGCTGCTGGGCTGTTCCTAAGGCAGGAGCCAGAGCCTCAGGCTAGGAGTGGGAAATCCTGGGGCATTTCCTCACCTATCCCATCCAGCCATAGCATTTAGCTCTACTGTTAATCCCTGCCCACAGAGGCAACCATGTATTGCAAAGTAAAACCTATGATAATGGGAATAATTACTAAGGGATGGTTCCCTTTCCCACCAAGCTTTCATGAGAAAGGGGAGCTAAAAAGGCAGAAAGCAGTTAGAAGGATCCCAGAAGTACAGGGGAGACTCGGTCATCACAGGTTGTACCTTTCAGGGTGGGGCTTGGGTCTGAAATCCAGGCTTCTCTACTCACAGGCCACGTACCCGCCACGGAGCTGCCTTCCCCGGGGGCCTCACCTTTGACTAATTTCAACAAAGGTATTGTCTGAGCTAGTGGAAGTTCTGGGAGAGGAGGTTGCCTGGACATCATCGATAGATGAGGTATGTAAGATAGAAGCAGACAACAGTCTGCTAGATGAAGGAAGATCAGTGACAGAACAGGCAGAGGAACGGTGATGACTGGCGAGGTTGGTGGTCTAGTTCTCAGGATGCCTAGGTGCCAGCTGTGAAAGCTCCAGGGGAGGAAGGCGCAGCCAGTGTGCACCAGAAAGCTAGAAGGCATTGCTCTTGTCACCCCTCTGGAGTGCAATGCTGTGATCTTGGCTCATTGCAACCTCCACCTCCCAGGTTCAAGTGATTTTCCTGCCTCAGACTCCCAAGTAGCTGGGATCACAGGCATGCGCCACCACACCCAGCTAATTTTGTATTTTTAGTAAAGACGGGGATTACTCCATGTTGGTCAGGCTGGTCTCGAACTCCTTACCTCAGGTGATCTGCCCACCTCGGCCTCCCAAAGTGCTGGGATTACAGGCATGAGCCACCACGCCTGGTGTTCACCTCCTTTTAGAAACTGGAGGTATTCACTGCATTTTTTGAAAAAGACCAGAAAGACATACTCCAAATGATTAATAGTGCCTTTCTTTATGTAGGAGAAGAGGGTGCTTTCTCTACTCTAGTTTTCTGATTTCCAGAATTTCCATAATGAGGATAGATTATTTTAGGGGTTGGGGAGCATATCAAATTCAGGAAAGAGGAGAACACGATGCGGGCCTAGGCTTACGATGAGCTGAAGGCCTGCATCCATGCTCCTCGCTGCTCTGGTCTCCTGCCCCTCCATGTCCCCACCCCCTCCCCCAGAGCACACAGCTGGTGGATTCCTTTCCACTTCTCTGTCTGGGAAGCAGCTGCCACATTGCCAGCTCTGTCCCTTTAGCTGGGCTCAAGTGGCAAGAGAAGCTGAGGGGAGATCTTGTGCAGCTCCCGCTCAGAAAGTGAAGGGGCGGTGAGAGGGACTCGATAAATACTTCCAGGGCACCCTGGAGAGGTGAGCACACCTAGGAACAGCCTGAGAGGTTTGCTTTGGCAGCTTGCCTCACCTGGGCTTAGCACAGCCTTGCACAGAACTTAGTGTTCCAGAATGGATTTCTGGAAGGAGGTATGGGGAGAGCAGAGAAGGAGGAACAGGGTACTTGCTTGGTCTGTGGGTACCCCAGTCACTGCCTTGTCTGGAACGAGGCCCACAGCCCCACCACTACTCATCTGGAGGAAGGAACTTGGAGAATGGAAGAACAGAAGATCCAGCTCCTGAGACTCATAACCACCAGATTTTCTAGCTCCAGAGAGAAAGAAGCTTCTGCCTGTGCCCATTAAAATTCACCTGTTTTAACAGGCATTTCAAGTTGACAAACTTGAGGCTTAACTTTCCTTGGCATAAAGGGAGCCACAGATCACGAGGAACTTATCAGAAAATGTAGAGACGGGAACAGCCCTTGTGCCCTGCCCTGGGGCCTCCACCAAGGCATCAGGTCTGGTGCCCTTGTGTCCTTGCCTTGTACTCTGGTCTCTCTAGAATGTTCTTTGCCAGAGGCCAGGTGCAGTGGCTCAAGACTATAATCCCAGCACTTTGGGAGGCTGAGGCAGGAGAATTGCTTGAGGCCCGGAGCTCAAGACTAGCCTGGCCAACATGGAGAAACTCCGTCACCACTAAAAATACAGAAATACACAGAGCGCGGTGGCTCACACCTGTCATCCCACCACTTTGAGAGGCCTAGGTGGGTAGATCACCTGAGGTTGGGAGTTCAAGACCAGCCTGACCAACATGGAGAAACACTGTCTCTACTAAAAATACAAAACTAGCTGGGTGCGGTGGCATATGCCTGTAATCCCAGCTACTCCGGAGGCTGAGTCAGGAGAATTGCTTGAACCCAGGAAACAGAGGTTGCAGTGAGCCACGATCACACCATTGCACTCTAGTCTGGGCAACAAGAGCTAAACTCCGTCTCAAAAAACAAAAACAAACAAACAAACAAACAAAAAAACCCACAATAAAAATTAGGCAGGTATGATGTCATGTGCCTGTAGTCCCAGCTACTAGGGAAGCTGAAGCACGAAAATCCCTTGAACCCAGGAGGCAGAGGTTGCAGTGAGCCAAGATTGTGCTACTGCACCCCAGCCTGGGTGACAGAGTGAGATTCTGTCTCAAA